TATGAGACACTGTCATAAAAACCAAACAAAACAACACAAGCCATAGTTATAGTTATTGGCCCTCTTACTAACAAACATAATGACTTACTATAATAAAACTTGATCCTAGTTCCCACTCCCTCCTTCCCTAAGAGCCGCTCTCACCTTCACTTCCCCTCCCCCCCAACTCTACAGGGAGGGTGACATCCAAGAGGGGACATCAAAATCTGTCAAATCATTTGGAGTAGTATCTATAACTTCCCTCCTGCTTCTAGGCTAAAGGAGTATTCCTCCACGGGGAATGTGCTCCCAAAGTCCTTTTATGCACCACGGACACATCCTGGTATATCTGTCAGAGGTCCCTTAGACTTCCCAGGCCTTCTAACTGAGGTCCAAGTTCAGAGATATGATTCAGTACAAGGCTGGTTCCCCAGCTATCATTCTGGTGGCCATGAGCTCACCCTTGTTCAGGTTAGCTGTATCTGTTGGTTTCAGTAGCCTGGACTTGACCAATTTTCTTATCACTCATCCCTCTTTGCAACTGGATTCCAAGAGTTCAGCTCAGTGTTTAGCTGTGGGTTTCTGCTTCTATTTCCATCAGCTACTAGATGGGGGCTTAATGATGGCATATAAATTAGTTATCTATCTCATTATCAGGGAAGGGAATTTAAGGTAGCCTTTCTACGATTGCTCAGATTGATAATTGGGGTTATCCTTGTAGGTCTCTGAACACTTCTCTAGAGTCAATTTTCTCTTCAAACTTATAATGGCTCCCTCTATTATATTATCTTTCCTTTTCTCTCTCATGTATTAGTCTCCCAATTTAATCTTCCTAGACCCACATGTGCTCTGCTCCTCCCCTTCTCTTTCTACTGACACTCCACTCACTGACCCCACCAACTCACAATATGCTCAGGAGATCCTGTCCTTTCCCCTTCTATGAGGGACCTTGTATTATTGTCTTTGGTTCCTCCTTGTATACTAGTTTCTCTCACGGTGAGAATTATATGCTGGTGATCCTTTGCTCTATGTCTCAAATCCATATATAAGTGAGTACATACCATGTTCCTCTTTTTATGAGTGGGTTACCTCAATCAGGATGGTTTCTTCAAGTTCCATCCATGTACCTACAGATTTCAAGATTCCATTGTTTTTTTCAGCAGAGTAGTATTCCATTGTGTAAATGTACAACATCTTTATCAATTTTCAGATGAGGGGCTTCTAGGTTGCTTCCAGATTCCTGCAATTTCAAATAATGCTGCTATGAACACAGATCATCAGATGTCTCTGTTACATGGATGTGTATATGCCCAAGGGTGGAATTGCCAGGGCTTGTGGTAAACTGATTTCGATTTTCCTGAGGAACCACAATACTGATCTCCAAAATCGCTCTACAAATTTGCACTCCTGCTGGCAGTGAAGGAGTGTTACCCTTTCCCCACATTCTTTCCACCATAAGCTGTCATTGGTGTTTCTAAGTTTAGTCATTCTGACAAGAATACTATGGTAACTCAGTTGTTTTGATTTGCATTTCCCTGATGGCTAAGACTGTTAAGCACTTTCGTAAGTCTCTTTCAGCCATTTTGTATTCCTCTATTGAGAATTCAATCTTCATTTGTTGTGTTGGTAACTAGTTTCTTGAGTTATTTGTCTATTGTAGATATCATCCTTCTGTCAGATGTGGGGTTGGTGAAGAACTTTTCCCAGTCTGTGCACTGAGATTTGGTCTTGCTGACTCTGTATTTTGCCTTACAGAAGCTTCTCAATTTGAGGAGGTCCCATTTATGAATTTCCAATCTCAGTGACTGTGCTACTGGTGTTATGTTCAGGAAGCTGTCTCCTGTACCAATTTGTTCAAAATACCTCCAACTTTCTCTTCTAAGTGTGGCTGGTTTTATGTTGAGGTCTTTGATCCATTAGATGTTTCTGTGAATTCTTCCTTTGCCACATCATTGTCTGTAATTTTTTTTTTACTTAATCTTGTATCCTGCTAATTTGCTGAATGTGTTTTCCAGCCATAGGAGTTCCCTGGTAGAGTTTATTGGACCACTTAATGGAAACTATCATACCATCTGCAAATAGTGACATTTTGACTTCTTCCTTTCAAATTTGTATCCCTTTGTTTTCTTATTGCTTTGGCTAGAACTTCAAGTACATTATTGAAGAGATATGTAGAGAGAGGGCAGTCTTGTCATGTTCCTCATTTTAGAGGAATTGCCTTAAGCTTCTCTCCTTTCAGTATGATTTTGGCTGTTGGTTTACTATATATTGCTTTTATTATATTTAGGTATATTTTTGTTTTCCCTGATCTCTCCAAGGGTGTTCAATTTTTTCAAAGGCCTTTTCCGCATCTTAGTGGGATTATAATTTGGATATTCCTTCTCCGTTTGTTTTTGTTGTGGGGCTCATTGATATATTTTTGTATGTTGAACCATCCCTGTGTCCCTGGGATGAAGCCTGTTTTCTCATGTTGGATGAGTTCTCTGATGTGAATTTGGATTCAATTTACCAGTATTTAATATAGTATATTTGGATCAATGTTCATGAGTGATATTGGTCTCTAGTTCTCCTTCTTATTTGTGCATTTGTGTGACTTGTGTAACAAGCCCCATAAAAAGAGTTTTTTAATATGTGAGGTTTATGTGAGCGTTAAGTTTTATTAGTGTTTCTTTTATATATGTGGGTGCCTTTGTATGTGGAGCATAGATGTTCAGAATTGAGACTTTGTACTGATGGACTTCTCTTATGATGGGTATGAAATGGCCTACTTTTGCTTGATTTTGGTTTGAAGTCTAACTTGGTAGATATTAAGACAACTGCACCTTCTTGCTTCCTGGGCCCAAATGATTGGAAGTTCTTTCCCCAACCCTTTTTCTCTAGGTTAGTATCTGTCTTTGAAGCTTAGATGTGTTTCTTGTTACACCAAAAGGGTAGATTCTGTCTTCAGATCAGTTCTATTAGACTGTGTCTTTTTATATGCAAGTTAAGACCATTAATGTTGGTGGAAAGTAAGGACCATTCATTCATTAATTGTTAATTCTTATTTGTTTTAGATTTCTTTTTGTTGTTGTTGGCAGTGGTATTGTTGTGTATATTTCCTATGCTTTTACTTTTGGGTTCTGGTGAAGGAGTATTATCTATTGGCTAGTTGTTTGTTATTGTAGTTAACGTCCTTGGGTTGGAGTTTTCCTTCAAGAACATTCTGCAGGGATGGATTTCTGAATACGTATTGTGAAAATCTGGCTTTGTCATTAAATATCTTGTTTTCCCCATCTATAGTGATTGAGAGTTTTGTTGGGTTTGGTAGCTTTGGCTGGAATCTGTGAACTCTTAGTACTTGTAGAACAGCTATCCAGGACATTCTGGCCTTGATAGTTACCATGTAGAATTCAGGTGCAATTTTGGTATTTTGATTGATATTTTCATTGCCATTATAAATTACCTGGCCTTTGTTCTTCTTGTCCTTAATATTATTTATTTATTCTGAATGTTACATGTTTTGATTATGATGAGTCAATGGGAGTTTGTTTTTGTTGTTGTTGTTGTTGTTTTGCTTTTTGCGCTGTCTATTTGGTTTTGGGTATGCTTCTTGCATTTTCATTAGCACATTTTTGAATCTTCAAATTGGAAAAGTTCTCTTCAGATTGGGAAAGTTTTCTTCAGTGATTTTTTTTGAATATATTTTCTGCACCTTTGAGCTGGGGTTCTTCACCTTCTTCTATGCCTATTATTCTTAGGTTTGGCCTTTTCACAGTATCCCACGTTTCTACTATATTTTGTTGGATTTAAGATTTTCTTTGGTCAATAAATCTATTCCCTGTAGTTTATCTTCAACTCCTGAGATTCTCTCTTCAAGCTCTTATATTCTGTTGGTTATTCTTGTGTCTGCAGTTCCTGATCATTTACCCAGGTTTTCTGTTTTAAGCATTCCCTCAATTAGTGTTTTCTTTATTGTCTCTATATCAGTTTTCAGGTCTTGAACAGTTTGAATTGCTTCCTTCAACTGTTTTATTGTTTTTTCATTGCTTACTTTCTTTAAGAGATTTTTTTTTATTTTATTCATATATTCTGTGGCCTTTTTCTCTATTTCTTCCAATTTATTGTTTTTTTTTCTTCCATTTCTTTTTTAATGTATTTTATATAACAAAGTCCATTTAAATGAAAACAAACATTTATAGACAATATTTGGGAATTTGGGCTTTGTTCTTTCCAAACTACTTCCTGCTGGTAACGGGCACTCTCATGGGGGATTCGAAGAAGATTCAGAAATCCTGGCTGTAGTCTGTAAGGCTGCTTTGTCCATCTGTTTTGAATGTAGGATCACCTCGTAATCTGTTTCAGGCGGTCTGGCTTGATTAAACCACTTTAGTCTGGCTTTCTTCCATTTCTTTAAGGGATTTTTTTTTTCTCATAGCATCTTTGCGGCCTGTGTTATTTTTAAGAATTTTTTTAATGTCATTCTCTTCTTCATCTGTTTTGATATGTTTAGTTCTTTTTGGTGTGGAGTCCCTAGATTCTGGTATATCATACTGTTCTTTCTATTGTTGGGTGTTTTCTTCTATTGCTGTCTTCCCATCGCTTATTCCAGTGTGTGAAGCTGGAGTTTCTGTCTCTCTTTAGCCTGCTGTCCTGGTGAATGTAGGTTGGTCAGTAGTTTGATGTCTGCAACCCTGGATAATCCAATTTCTCTTGGAGATTGCTCCCCTGGCAGAGGGCAGATGGTGGGGTTCAAAGATTAGGACAGTTTAGCATCAAGGTGTTCCTGAGGGGATAGGTGGTTCCAGTGGGTTCAGAGCATAACCAGGAAGTTCCACAGAAGGGGAGGGTTTGTTGGAACCACACTTTGGCCCAGTGCCAAATTTCATATCAGAGACACACAATTTTTTTTTCTTTTTTCTTTTTTTGCACATGGCCTTTGCTGTGGTGTACGACAATTGTTTTGTGTGATACACCATTTGTGATTGGAGTTTATTATATTGATTACATACATTAAAAGGAATGAAAAACTCTTTTTTTTTAAGGAAAATAACAGTGGAGGTAAATTGTAGATTGGAGAAAGAGGAAGAAGTTTCCAAAGTGAACAAGAGAACTAGCCATGTGAACAAGGAACTAGAGACCTATAGGTAAGACATCCTCTTTCTTATTTTGATGCTTGGAATCAGGAAGCAGTAAAATAAAATGGCTTTATTGTTTTGTTTGATCTCAGACAAGGTCTCTGTATCCTTGACCCATCCGGAACTCTTTCTGGAGGCAGACTTCCTTTTCTGGGAATCTGTTAATTTTACAGGATCTGAGTTAATCTTTCATGATTTTGAGTCCTGAAAATGAAATCCAGATGATCAGGCATGCTTGCATGTGCCTGAGACTTTTGCACGTAGGATGGGGGCATGGTAAGATTGTAAATTAGCCCCTGAACAGGCTGCTGGAGTCCTTCTCTACTGTGTAAATTTTTGTGACATTGTGTTAGGCACATCCAAGTAGTAGCACTCACATAGTTTAATTGACATTAGACCTAAGGGAGGAGAAGATGGTCTTTAATACCTGTCAGCATCTCTCAAAAGAGGAGTCTTGTGGTTATAATTAAATAAGGAAGAACACTCAGTAATATCCTTGTAGCCACGTGCTGTTATTCTTTATTATATGTTACCACAGTGGAGTAACTATTTGTTCCATGTAGACGGCGTGCCAAGGATATCGAAGAAGAATTGGAGAGAACAATTTGCTCCTATCAAGCGCAGGTATGTGTGTCAAGTGACAGCTTTATATGCAGTTAGAGCACTCTGACTGGATAGAACTGATGCAGGACTGTAGCATTCATCACTCCTGATGTGTTTTGTGAAACTGAAATATACACAGAGAGCCAACGATACTGAAATATAAAACTTCTGCAACTTCCTTTTCTTTTGGAATGAGTATTATATAGCAAAGCAATGTGTCACCATCCCAGTCCCATGTTGGGATTGTTATCTGTTCCTTGGAAACTCTAGTAGTTGATCATCTTCTGCAGTTTGTTGGCATTAAAAACACTTATGTTCAGGTTTGTTAAAAATTTCAGGAGAGAAAATCATCTGTATATGTGAAATCATGCTTTCAAAATGGTTATAGTGCTTCAGAGATGCCTAGGCAGTGGGAATTATGGTTTGGACCATGAATTTTAGTGGTGGTAATGAATTTTTTTTTATTTATGAATAATTTTAATAACTGTTTTTTAGGTTATTGCTCATGAACAAAGGGCACATGACTATTGGGTAAGTTTTTAAGTCCCGTAACATATACTATTCATTTTATATTAGGTAAAGGTATAGACGGTATTTAAAAATAATCACTTTCTATGAATTTTATTAATTTTACCAGTATTGAAATCATATTACAGGCCAGACTATAGGAAGCACTGAGAATTAATCTTTTATTTTGTGCTTTACTTGTACATTTCCCACTGAATATAATTAGTTTTAAAATCACAAAATCTTGAGAAGGAGTTTGGAGTTAGAGAGAGAGCTCAGTATTTCAGCTCAGCACTTGCTGCTCTTCCAGAAGACCTGAGCTGTGTTTGGTCCTGAGCAAGTCAGATGGCTCACATTTGCCTGTCATTCTACTTCCAGGTTAATTTAGATCGTCTTCTGTCCTCTTAAGACACCTCCACTCACACTCGTGTGTGCATGGACACACGCATAACATGTGCACATCTTCATATTTATGTGTCATACAGTGAGCACCTTGTAAGTCCAGGTATATCAGAGTCAGGAGAAACACTTATGTACATAAAACTAAGTAAAATTTTAAAACAGTTAAGTGAATTGTAACATTTTACTAGCTCAGGGTATTGTACTGAATTCCTTTTTGTTTCAAATTGATTTTATGATTACAATTGGAAAATAATTACACACAGAGAAACATCCTTTTTGGAGCAAGGGTTTGAGGCAAGGTTTCTTTGTGTATTGATGGCAATCCTGGAATTATGTCTGTAGACCAAGGTGGCCTTAGTGATGCACCTGCCTTTACCTCCTTTGTACTGGGATTAAAGTTGTGCACCACCATTGCCTAGCTAAAAGAAAAATTTGATAGTAGTAAAATATATTTAAGCTATATTTACAGTGGATGTTAAGTGCATTCATTGGCTAAAGTCAATTCTTATCTATACTGCAAAGTTATTGACAGTAGAGTCCCTTTAATTTGAAGTGTGTTAGTGTTTGCTACTTATAAATGGTAAGCTTACATTTTGAATTGATCTATCTATTGTATTCTATATTCTGTATCTGATCTATAGAGTCAACAGATTGGCTGGGAAGCAGGAAGAATAACATGTTTGGCTTTTGCTAATGATTATTTGAGAGTATTGCAGGTTCTTGGTATTTATTATAACTAAGCTGGGCATGGTGCTGCACACTACCAACAAATGCACAGATACAAATAATAACTGCTGCAATTGTGATTGTGAATTGTCTCATACTTAATAGTTGTGCGATATGTACAGATTGTATTTAGCTATTAAAAAATGACCTGTAATGGCATTCTTTGAAACTGTTTTAGACATTTGTATTTTCCAGTATTATGGACCTAAGGACCATCCATTTCCATTGACTTTGTTCTAAGGTAGTCTGCTAGCCACTTATGATTGGATGTTTTCATCATCAAATGATTTTAGGCACTGATATAGCAACATTAATTGACAAGTACCAATGAAACTCCAGCTTTACATTTATGCATGTGGCTGGCATAAAACTCATTCCCTTTTTGAATAATTTCTGAAAGTAAAAATGATTTATATTGACTACAATAAGTGCCAATTCTCTTTTATTTATTTATTATATTTATTTATTTTTCTAATTTTACATATGAATCCCAGTTCCTGCTCCATCCCTTCCTGCTCCATTTCTTCTACCCTCCAATGCCCAATCACCACCCTCAAATAACTTCTCCCCACTGCACATGTAGGGTGATGTGTTCCTAAATGGGTCATCTAAATCTGTCCAATCATTTGGAGTAGGAACTAGGCCCTTCCTCTTGCCTCTAGGTGCAAGGAGTATCCCTCCATGGGGAACATGCTCCAAATGTCCTATTATGGACCAGGGATACATCCTGGTTCCACAGTCAGAGGTCGCTTAGTCTGGCCAGGCCTTCTGAGACCCATGTTTAGGGGGTCTGAGTTGTACAAATGCTGGATTCCTAGCTATAAGTCGGGGACCCATTAGCTCCTCCTTGTTTAGGTCAGTTGTCTCTATATGTTTACATAGCCTGGTTTTGTCCTCCCTCTCTGCATCTGGATTCCAGTATGGCACAGTGCTTAGCTGTGTGCATCTGTTTCTATTTCTATCAGCTTCAAGATGAGGGCTAAATGATTGTACATAAGTTAGTCATCAATCTCCTTATCAGGGAAGGGCATTTATAGAAGCCTAGCAAATGTTGCTCAAATTGTAAAATGGGATGAGACTTGTAGGTCTCTGTACATTTCTCTATAATCATTTTTTATAGAATCCTATAATGGCTCCCACTTTTATGGTATTTCTCTCTCTGTGTGCTTTTCCCATCTATTCCTTCCCTGACTCAATCTTTCTAGTCTCATGTGCTTTCCTCTCCTGCCCTTCTCTTTCTCCTAGTCCCCTCTGGACTCACTGCCCCACCACTCTGAATATTCTAAGGAGATCTTGTCCCCCTGCATGAGAAATCATGTATGAATCTCTTAGAAATGTCTTGTATCCTAGTCTCATCACTGGCACTGTAAATTATAAGCCAGTGATCCTCTGCTCTATGTCTAAAATCCATATAAGTAAATATGTACCATGTCCCTCTTTTTGTTACTGGGTTACCACATTCAGGATGGTTTCTTCAAGTTCCATCCACTTGCCTGCAAAGTTCAATATTCCATTGTTTCTTTCTGGCAGAGTAGTAATCCATTGTGTAAATGTGCCACATACTCATTATCTATTCTCCTGTTGAGGGGCATCTAGGTTGCTTCTAGATTCTTGCAATTACAAATAATGCTGCTATGAATATAGTAAACAGATATCTTTTTTGCATGGATGTGGATCATTTGGGTATATGCCTAAGTATGGGATTGCTGGGTCCTGTGATAGACTGATTCCCATTTTTCCTTAGAATCACCATAATGATCTATAAAATGGCTGTACTTTTTTGCACTCCCGCCAGCAGTATAGGAGTTATCCTGTTTCTCCATATCCTCTCCAGCATAAGTTGTCATGGTGTTCCTAATTTTAGTATTTCTGGTAAGATGGTATCTCAAAATTGTTTTGATTTGCATTTCCTTAGTAGCTAAGGATGTTGAGTACTTTCTTAAGAGTCTTGAAGCCTTTGTGATTTCCATAATTGAGATTTCTCTCTTCAGTTCTGTGCGCCATTTTTAATAGGGTTATTTGGTGTTTGGTGACTAGTTTCTTGAGTTCTTTGTATATTTTGGAGATCGACCCTCTTTCAGATGTGTGAATGGTGAAGATCTTTCCAAGTCTGTAGGCTCTCTTTCCATTTTCTGGTATCTTCTTTAATTTCTTTCATTAGAGTCACAAATTTCTTATTATATAGGTCATTTACTTGTTTGGTAAGCATTACACCAAGATACTTCATGTTGCTTGTGGCTATTGTAAAGGGTGATGTTTCTCTGATTTCTTTCTCTACCTCTTTGTCGTCTGAATAAAGTAGGGCTACTGATTTTTTTGAGTTTATCTTGTAACCTGCTAGTTTGCTGAAGGTGTTTATCCTCTCCACTCTGTTTGATGTTGGCTGTTGGTTTACTGTATATTACTTTTATTCATTTACGTATGTTCCTGTTATCCCTGATCTCTCCAAGACCTCTATCACGAAAGGTATTGGATTTTCTCAAAGGCTTTTTCAGCATCCAGTGAGATGATTACATTGTTTTTCTTTTTCAGATTGTTTATATGGTAGATCACATTGATAGATTTTCATATATTGACCTGTCCCTGTAACCCAGGGATGAAGCCTATTTAGTCATATTAGATGATTTCTCTGATGTGTACTTGGATTCGATTTTCCAGTACTTTATTGAGTATTTTTGCATCAATATTCATGAGGGATATTGGTCTGTAGTTCTCTTTTTTGTTGTGTCTTCTTTTGGCTTAGTTACCAAGGTAATTGTGGCCTTGCAAAAGGAGCTTGGTAATGAACATTCTACTTCTATTCTGTGAAACAATTTGTGGAGTTATGTTATTAGCTTTTGTTGGAATTTATGGTAGAATTCAGCACTGAAGCCATCTGGCCCTGGACTTTTTTGGTTGGAAGGCTTCCAATGACTGACTCTATTTCAGTAGGGGTATTTTAAAGGTGCTCATCTGTTCTTGCTTTAATTTTAGTTAGTGATAGTTATTGAGAAATTTGTACATTTACTTTGAGTTTTTAAATTTTATTGAGCATAGGGTTTCAAAGTATGACCTGAAAATTGTCTGGATTTCCCCAGTGTTGGTTGTTATGTCTCCTTCCTTGTTTATGATTTTGTTATTTTGTGTATTCTCTCTCTGTTTTTGTGTTAGTTTGGATAAAGATTTGTCTATCTTGTTCATTTCCTCAAAAAGTGAACTCTTTATTGCATTGATTTTTGTATTGTTTTCCAGGATTCTCTTTTATTGATTTTAGCCCTCAAATTATTTCCTTGCTACTATACCTTTGGGGTGAGTTTGCTTCTTTTTGTTCTAGGGCTTTCAGTTTTGCTGTTAATTCTCTAATGTGACTATTCTCAGTTTTCTTCATATGGGCACTTGGCACAATGATTTTCCCTCATAGCACTCTTTCAAGGTGTCCGATAAGTTCGCATATGTTGTGTCCTCCTTCTTGTTGAATTCTAGGAGAAACATATTTACAGAGTGACATCTCTCATCACCTTCAAAGTTGGATTATTGGGAAGTATATGGTCACAAATTTCCAAACGTATCTGTGTATGGTGTCAGGCACATTTGAATTGTACTCTGAGTCAAACAGGGCAATCATTTTCATTTTCAGGCAATTGGTTATGCATACCCACTTCCAGATACATCTTGAGAGTTGTGTTATTTACCCAGGTAAAATTTCTCTAGAGCTTGTAGCCTGCCTTCCACATTGCACATATAAAAATAAGCACCATTCCACTCAAACATATGACCTTCTTATTTTAAAAATCAGAACTGTTTCTGGGATGAACAGGTGACTCAGCTTTTAAAAGCACATATTGCTTTTGCAGAGGGCCCGAGTTCAGTTCCTAGCACACATATTGAATAGCTCAAGGTCCATGTAAATTTCATCT